ATAAATAATGATTAAGCCAGTTCTGGGAATCCTGATTCCTTTTCCCAGTAAACTAGTCTAAAACCTATAGTCTAGAATTGGCCAGTGAACTGAAGGAAGGTGCTGGTGCTCTTTTCTCCCTAGTCAGAAGTTAGCAAGAATAGTCTCATTTGACCCTCAGCCAACTTCTTTTCCCTATGGAAGTACTCCAGTTGAACTTGATAGAGCTCAACCACTAACTCGAGACCATGAGAAGACCAAGAGATCTTCCATATCATGACTGTGCTTCCAGACACACCTGTGTCTTATAGCTTCTTCTTGTGTGAAATAAATGTTCTGTTTGTCTCTTAAAAGCACTGAGGTTCTTAAAATTAGAGACATCCTACTGAATATAGACAGAGAGATTCAATGAGAAAGGAGGTAGAGATAAATTATTCAGCACTTGTTATTACTTCTGTAATCTTATGTAATCTTTACAACAGCCCAATGAAAACTATTTTGTTAGTTGTTACAGGTTACAAAACTAAAGGTTAGTAAAGTCACATAATAGTAACAGTAACCAAGCTAAAGTTTGAAACTAGACCACATATTAATCCTCATTGTTTTTTTGGGGGGGGGTTGTTATTGTTGTTTTGAGACAGGGTCTCCCTGTACCCCCAGCTGGTCTTGCTATGTAGACATTGTTGGCCTTAACCTCAGAGAGATCCTCCAGCCTCTGCCTCCCCAGTGCTGGGATTAAAGGAGTGGACCATGATGTCTGGCCAAGTTCCTCACATTCTTTATAAAAATATAAAATCCCCTTTATTATTTACAACTCTTATTAAAGGTACATGTCTTTGATCCCAGCACTCAGGGGAAGAGGCAGGTGGATCTCTGTGGCTAGACTAGTCCACATAGCGAGTTCTAAGCCACCATAGGGAGACATTGTCTTTTTAAAAATTTATTTATTTTTATTTTATGTGTATGAGTGTAATGCCTGCACGTGTGTGAGTGCACCCGTGTAATGCAGTGCTTGAGGAGGACAGAAGAGGTTGTTGGATCCCCTGGAACTGGAGTTACAAATAGTTGTTAGCTGCCATGTGGGTGTTGGGATTAAAACCTGGGTCTCCTGCAAGAACAGCTAGTGCCCTTAACCTCTGAGCCAGAGCCCTGTAGGATGCTGTCTTTAAAAAATAAAAAAACAAAAAACAAAAACAGGTTAGGACTAGAGAGATGACTCAGTGGCTAAGAGCCAGAGGACCTCAGTTTAGTTCCTGCAACCCACATTTGGATTTGGCAACTCACAACTGCTAAAGGGACTCCAGCTCCAGGGGACCCAACACTCTCTTCTGATCTCTATGGGCACCCTCCCACAGACACAAACACACAGACATAAATAAAAATCAATATTAAACAAAAAAGGAACTGTGTTAATTAACAGAATTTGGAACACTAAGGAGTATCAGTTATTCTTTTCACCTTGTCATAAGGATCTATACAGTCTTCAACTATTTGTATTAAAGTCATATGGGAGGAAATATATTTGGGTGTTTATATAAACCCTCAGAATACCTAATACACAAGAAAATTCTATGCAAGAAAATAAAGAGTACAAAATTGACTCTCAGTGTCAACAGTCAATTTTTCATGAATTAAAAGAAAAAGAGGAGTCAGCCACTGGCCATGGTGGTTGCAATGCCTGAAACCCCAGCACTCAGTAGGCAGAGGCAGGGAGATTGCTACCAGTTTGAGGCTTGACTGGTATGTAAAGTGAGTTCAAGGCCTGCCGTGGCTACATAAAAATAAAATAACAAATTAAAAAAAAAGAAGTAAATCACAAATATCTCCTAAGCTGACAGAACAACTTCCTTATTTCAAACTATCCCATTAACCAAGAATCTATCAATATAGAAACCACAAAGTAAACACTTCCTTAATTCTCAACTGTCATCTCCTTACAGAAAATGGAGACAGTATAAATTCCAACCATAATAACAAAAAAATTATAAATGGCAAGATCATGTTTTATATAGAAACTCACTAAAACTGGGTTTTCAAAAGCTACTCATGGGGCTGGAGAGATGTCTCAGTGGTTAACAGCACTGACTGCTCTTGCAGAGGACCCAGGTTCGATTCCCAGCACTCACATGGCAGCTACGAACCGTCCTTAACTCCAGTTCCAGGGGAATCCGAAGCCCTCTTCTGACCTTTGCGGCACTGCATGACACGGGTGCACTCACATACATGCAGGCAATACGCTCATACACATAAAATAAAAATAATAAAATATTTTTTTAAAAAGCTACTCACAATGTCATCTCAACTATAAATATGTCCACCTAATCCTACCTTAATTTCCAGTTCACCAATACAAAATGAGTATGCCGGGTTTCTGAGTTGATATGTGCAACTTACCTTCCCACATGCTCTGCAATGATGCCTCCTTTTGGTGAAAGTAAAACGTGCTTCACACTTCATGCAGTTTGGAGCCTGGGAATCTGGTACCCATACTGGTGCCACCTCGCCCAGGGTGGTAAATGGCTTTCTGGCAGATATTCCAAACTGACCAGCTCTGAGATCATTATCTGGACTATCTGGAGCTAATGCAATGCATGGTCTACTGGAGATCTCAGCCTCATAACTTTCTAAACGTTCCCCATGTGCATCAGCCACAGAGACGTTTCCTAAAGACGGACTGCATGCATTGGTTGCTGAGTTTTCCCCCAATTTTGCTTTCCCAAGAATATCATTTTTATTTTTAATATTATTTCCATTGTTTGCAAGAAAGTCATTTTGTAAGTGGTCTGATAATGGCTTTGGAATCTGAAGTTTAAGATTAGACGGTTGCTTGGGTCTTGCACCACCAAAAGGAACACTGATAGATTGTAGGTTCGCTACTATCTTGGGGGAAGATTGACCAAGCACTGAAGGGACTTGACTACAGAAATTAGGTAAATAATTTTTCTTCATTAGGTCTCCAGTGCTGTTTAAAAGTAGTCCGCTCCCTTCTGTGGCCTCATTTCCTCTCTGTTCATAAGTATTTGAGTAGCATTCTGACTTGCTCTCCTCTATTTCCTTTTCTTCTGTTACTGAATCTTCTTTGGAGGGTAGAGTCTTTGGAACAAAAGAAACAACTGGGCTCTGCATTCCACAGGAATCATAACCATTAGACAGAGAATTTGCTGCTGGTGTGTCATTAACAATGTAGAAGTCACACCCTTCACTTTCACTCATGCAAGTTCCTTTGGAATCCAGACCTGCACCCGCCATTCCAACATATTCTCCTCCACTATTGCCATCTGTGTTCTCAGGCTGGCTCATTTGTAAAGCCTTCTGATTCTCTTCATTTATTTGGCTATCATTTATCTCATTTAACTTTGTCAATTTCCAATGAGTCACCTGAGAGTCAGAGAAATGCTCTGTCACATTAAGAAATTCTGTAGTGCCAAAAATTTCTTCCTGCCCATAACCTTCATCTTCATCAGCCCTAACTTCATTAGACACAAGGCAATCTGAAGACTGTTCACATTTATCCCTTCCAGACCCATCAGGTATGTCTGGTTTGAGACTCAAAGATAAACCAGATGGGAGGGATTCCTCTGTTGTTCTCTCTTCTGCTGGCTCCTTTTTTGTCAAGATCTCCTCACCTGAGTGAGGAAAGGAGCTAGGGCTCCCTAGGTCTGTCCTAGGAGAGGTGTTTTTGCCAGTGAGGTCCTCATCTGGTAAGTAATTCTCTTGCTTTTTAATGACATATCCTCCATCTGTTCCCTGGGATGAGATTACTGGACTAACTGTTAAACTTGTAATTGCAGACACGGAGAGGTCTTGAGCTATATTTTCATCATCCTTTAATTGTAAAGGGGAACAGACACTGGCTACACTATTAGATGAAGCAGTACATAGATGATTAACAGAATCCCCCTCTGGTTTTGGTCTATTCAAAGCATCCATTTGTTTTTCTGAGTTCATACTTTTTTCAGTGGACCCATTCATACTGACACTAAATTGATCAATTTGTCTATTTTCATTATCCAGTGAACAGCTAAAAGAATCCATGAGGGGCTGACTATTGTAATTATTACAGTCCTGCAAATCACTTTGTAATGTCCTTTTATCACAGTTATGCATGACAGCTACAACAAGAACATTCTTCTCATCTGGCAGACAAGGTAGGCTTCCACATTTCTCCTCTCCCACTTCAACAGCACTAAACTGATCATCCCGATTATAGTTTCTCTTAATAAGCTGGTCTTCTGCAACAGCATTTTCATCAATCCACATCGTGGCAATCTCTGGATTTAAATCACAGTCCTGTTGGTTATCAGGACAGTCTTCTCGCTCCCTCGTCAGGGGAGCTGAACAAGCCAGAGAAAAGACTTTCAGTTGTGGTCCTGGTTCATTAGAAACTGCAGGTTCATTCACACTGGTCAATGCAGGGTTAAATGACAGTCGGTGAGAAGAAGGATCTAGAATTTTATTCCACTTTGTATCCAATAAAGTAGGAGAAACTGCTTCATCTGAAAAAAAGTAGTTTTAATAAGTTTGCTGGTCATAATAAAAAGTTACTTAGGACTATCAAACCAGTATTTCTGAATATACTCTGAAGATAAAAATATTCCTAGAATATGAAGGAATCTAATCTTTCACTAGGAATTAAAAATGCATTCAATACAATGTCCCATAATTATGTCATCAAATGATAATGCCTCAGAACATTTCAAATAATAAAAGAATCTTTACCTCAAGCTAATAGTGTAATTAAATTGACCTGCAGACCCAAGAGAAGGGAAAGCATCCATGTACATGGCAAGGCAGAGAGAATGGAACAGAAGTGAGGACATGGTATTAAGAAATTCTTGCTCTCCAACCAATATGATTGGGATGTGGGTTACATGGATATCTGCATTTGTCAAACTGAACAGTCAACCAAGGCATCCAGGTACACATCCAGGTACCTATTTGAAGACTGAGGTGAGAAAATCATCTGAGTCACTGAGTTCATAAACCAAACTGGAAAACAGAGACTTTGTCTCAAAATAAAAGCAAAGCAAAACAACCACAAAACCCTATACATTTAAAATCTATACATTTTACTGAATATAAAGTTTATCTTTTTAAAAACATGGGGCTAGAGAGATGGCTCAGCAGTTAAGAACACTGACTGCTCTTGCAGAAGACCCAGGTTCGAATCCCAGCACCCACATGACAGCTAACAACTGTCCGTAACTAGAGTTCCAGGGGATCTGACAGCCTCTTCTGTCCTCCATGGGCAACACATGACACGGGTGCACTTACCTACATTCAGGCAACACACACACATACATAAAAAGTAAAAATAATAAACAAAAATATTTTTAAAAAAACATAAAAAATGCAGCTAGAGATTTAGCTCAGTTGGAAGAGAGCTTGTCTATCCCTAAACCCTTGGTTCAATCTTTAGTACTTTATAAAACAAGCATGTTGATGCATTCCAATAATCCCAGGGAGGTGAGGACAGGGAGCAGGAAGTTGCAGGACCAGAAGTTGGAGGTCATCTTTGGCTGCATATTGAGTTTGAGGCTAGCCTGGGTAATATAGGGGATTTGTTTTTGTTTTTGTTTTTTAAAAAAAGGCTGAGAGGACAGCTCAGTGAGCAAAGTGCTTGCTCTGCAAGTATGAGGACCTAAATCCAGATTCCCAGCACCCCTGTAAAAGTTATAGGTGCACATGGGCATAGCGGTGTGCGCTTGTAACCCCAGTGCTGTGGGATCATTGTGGAAGAGGGGGCAGAAAGATTGTAGGAGCCAGATGACGACAAGGAAAAAGAGTTTTCCAGACGTCTGGTCAGGTACTCATATGAACTCACAGTAACACTGACAGCATGGACAAGTCCCACATAAGCTCAAGTCAGACAAAATCCCAGCATAGACATGGGGAAATGGGGAAGAAACCCCAACTGAGGAACTGTTGGCAACTGATGGCTACTGGGAAGGAAAGATTCAGTCTTGCTTAGACTGAGACTCTTAGTAGGTTAACCAAGCTCCAGTGGATAAACCCAACATCAAGGGGTACTTGGGGACACAAACCTGACTCTATAAAACTTAATATATATTAGAGTACAGAAATTTGGTGAGGGATTAGTGGGGGAGGGGCGTTGTGCAGATACAGGAGGAAATCTAAATATGATAAAAAATATATTGTATGAAAATATATAAAATAATGGGGCTGAAGAAATGGCTCAGTGGTTAAGAACACTGGCTGTTCTTGCAAAAGACCTGGGTTCAAATTCTAGCACCCACATGGCAGCTAACAACTGCCTGCAACTCCAGTTGGAGGGGATCCAACACCTTCTTCTGTCCTCTGAGGGTACTGCACGACATGGGTGCATTTACATAGAGGTAGGCAATACACGCATACACACAAAATTATAAAATTAATAAATATTTTTTAAAAATTTAAAAAAATACATAAATTTTTTTTTGGTCTTTTTGAGACAAGGTCTTCCTGTAGCCCCAGCTGTCCTGGAAATTGCCATGAAGACCAGGCTGGACTCTATCTCACAAAGATCCACTTGCCTCCTGAGTGCTGGGACTAAAGGCGTGTGCTACCATGCCTGACTTTAAAGCAGAGGTTGGAAGGCAATCACTGAAATTTTAAATATGCAATACCCAAGGAGGCCAGAAGAGCATGTCAGATCCTCTGGAACTAGAGTGAGGGACTTTGGTTAGTTACCTTATGGGTGCTAGAACCAAACTTGGCTCCTCTGGAAGAGCAGCAAGTGCTCTTAACCACTGAGCCATCTCTCCAGCCCCATCATGGAATTGTTTTAAATATCAAATTTAAAACATCCAAGTATGTGGCACATAGTGCTAAGAAAATGTTATTTCTCACCTTAGATATACAATATTATTGTCATTACATGGCCAGACTTGTTTTAACTTTAAAGAACTGTATTTTCTTATCCTCACAGTGTCTCTATCATAAATCTAAATAGACATCCCAATGTAAATTCTCACCTTCGTTTTGTTCAAATTCATCTAATACCTTGTCCAGGTTGTAAGCTTCTGCTTGGAAATAATTCTCCATCAGTGAGAAAACACTGCTTAAGAGACTTGTTTAAACCTAAAAAGTAGAACAAATTTGAATCATACTTTGAATTATTAAAACATTTAACTAAATTTATAATTTATAAGTTTTAGGTATACAAGAATGAAATCTCCAATAAATCCATTTGGACAATGGTAAACAATATGAATTCTTTAAGTTAATAAAGTGTAGAAACCTGTAAGCTGACAATTATCAAAACACAGCCCTCCATACCTGTAGATTCTACATCTGCAAATTGAATCAACTATGGATAGAAAATATTCAGAAAAAACTGCATCTGTATTGAACATACACAAACATTTTTCTTGTCATTTTTCCTAGGTAATACATTATCTTAGAAAACTAGAGATAATTTAGGTATAGGGGGATGTGAACAGGTTGTACACAAATACTCCATTTTATACATGTTTGAATATCCATGGATTCTGGAACCTGCAGTGATCCTGAAGCCACTCTTCCACCAATACATAAAGGACAATTGTAGGACTATTATAAACATAGAAGGTAGACCTAAAGTTTAACAGACTGTACTTTAAAAGGTAAGTTTCAGACATTGGGAAGGAAATAATTTTGATTGGGATAAAACTGTATTTCTTCTATAAAAGGAAGTATTCAGAACTTTCAAAAATAAGACATTTCAACCATCAGGTAAGGGATATTTTTTTTTTCTGGGGGGGTGTTGGGGGGGGAGGGGAGGGCTTTTTGAGACAAGTGGAGAACTCACTATGCAGACAGGCTGGCCTTGAACTCACAGAGCTCTACCTGACTCTGCCTCCCCAGTGCTGGGATTAAAGGTGTACACTACCACACCCAGCCTCGATCATCATTCTAATGATGACTCTGATTTTTCTTTTTTTTTTTCAATTCTATCACATTTATTATTTAGACATAATAAACACTCAGTATCATGCTATCATATGGACACTATAAAACATGCTAACTCAGTGTAACTTAAGAGGATTTTAAAATAAAAAAATAAATGTTTATTTCCTTCCATCAATTCTAAAATCATACTGTCTAGGATATATTCAATTGGTTAAAATCTCTTACATCGACTCCTATCCTCAAGCCTCTTGGGGTAAGTCTATAGCACAGCCTTCCACGCCTTGACTCCCCCAGCCACATTCACCCTTCCATCTCCCCCGCTGCTCTCTACTAGTTTGGGCCCTGTACCATTCCTAGTCTTGGGTCCCCAGACACCTGGGGAACCAATACTGCTTCCTGAACTTATTCACCCAGACCAACTTAGTGCCTTCCCTGGGCCCTAGGAGCACTGCTTCTGGACCTGGCCCCGCCCTCACCTCCCTTTATTTCCCTGATCCTGCAACACCCGCTAGCCTCTTTCTGGAGCTCCGAGGCTTACCTTTCAGCTCCCTGATCCTTTGCATCCAGTACAACCCAGCTACTCAATCCACTCCCTGGGAAATCTTGGGGCTTCTTCCCACCCCATTTGCCTTTGCAGCCCTGCATGGCACGGCCATAGCCAGGATCTCAGGTCAGTCCAACACCCAAGTTCCTGAGGCCAAAATCATTCTTAGAAGATTCCAGACCTAAGGAGAAAGTCTGAAAACTTCTGACCCACATTGGAATTAGGCCACCGTGGAACTCCTGAAGACAAAATCAATCTAGCCATGACAATATAAAATCAAAAGAGAACCAGAAGCTTAGACGAACCAGCTCTTCATACCCAAAAAGTAAACCACAAAGACACATAAAGTTCAAAAAAAGAAGCAGAACTAAACTTGAAGGCCCGAGTATCACACAAGAGTCAGAAACTACAAAAGAAATTCACATGTCAAAATCACAGAGAAAAAATAACATGAAAAAACAAAATAACATATCCCCACCAAATGCCAGTAATCCTCTGGAAGAGCACAATGAGAACCCCCTAGAGACAATGCAGGACATGGAACTCAAAAGAACAATGATGAATATGATAAAAGAATTCAGTGAATTTAAAGAACACACAAACAAGGTAATCATAGAGCTGAAGGAAGATAGGGATAAACTTCTGAATGAATTCAGAAAAGAGCTAGAAATATTGAAGAATACTCAGGCTGAAATAAAGAACAAAGTGAAACACTCCATAAGCCAATTAGAAATGACAGGAGAAAGCCTCACCAATAGGATGAA